TATATAAATACTCGAACCATATATGTTATCTGTAGTAACTATACGTATTTTTATAACAGTGTGCATCGTTATATAGGTAGATGCTTGCATTTAGAGAAAACATAGAAGGGACGTGTAATGTTGCGTCTTGTTGGTGATGTTTACCATACTTCGATATGCGAGCAGGTGAGGCTCATAGTTGTTATGTTTTTGAAGTCCTTTGGCCTGATAAGAATGATACCAATTTAATGATGAATGTTGTTCTGTGACCTTTTCCGCAGTATTCAAATATCGACATGGAAATGTTATTCGAGAAATATAGAGAAATGGACTCTGAAGCCAACAAGGAAGTTTTTACCAATATCGACATGGATGAGGTATGTGGCTGGGTTCATATTGGTGCTCCTGACTTGTCTGCTCCGGGCTTTGCTTGTGTCGTTCTAAATGTTCATCTTTCTGAGATTTTTTTTTTTTAATGTTCATGAGCCTACAGTTGGTAGAGAATTCTGCGTTCTCTAGCATCTTCAAATATTAAGATTTGTTCTTTGCAATTGCTAGATCTAATATTTCTCGAGTTCATATACCCCGTAGTGCTTGTATCCACCATATCATTCGTTTCAATTCTCTCGAGGAAATATATATTATGGTTTTTGACTGTTCGTTAAAAAGTAGAATTGTAGGGGTTGGCGGCCAAATCGTACGTATCGTTTACATTTGTCTACCTTATTGCTGTGCTCATATCGTCTGACGCGACTCGCTCCTCTATCTTTGAACTGATGTTTGACCTACAATGTTGATAGGCAATTCCCGTGACAAATCGCGCAGTTGACCGTCTGTCCAACTTCAATGCTATCCGTAGTCACCTCTGATTTAATTATAACTATATCACCATATAGCAATTTGGCGCCAAAGCAGAAGAAAACAAAAGGATAAAGGCTCAAACCCAATTCAATCAAGCGCCCGGGCTTTTGGCAATAGAAGGACAACCGGGTCAACCAGGAGTTCCAGGTAAGTATACATATGCAAAGTACTTGGTTGCTTAGCAGTATGCAATCTTCAATTTGGATACATGTATGCGTGTGCACGTATTTGAGGTCATGGTGAATACCCTCTTGACTGAAGGGCAGAAAACTTACCTCCATACCTCGTATAGGCCAGCAAGTGGCAGGACAACCGCTGACGGCACAACAGCACCACCAGCAACAGCAACAGCAACAGCAACAGCAACAACAGCAACAACAACACCAACACGCGCAACCGGCGCAACTGCAATTACAGCACAGGGGTCTTGCCTACCCTCAGCCGCGTGGACCTTATCCCCACGCACAGCGACCCTACGCACCTCAGCCTCAGTACCCGCAGCATGCGCAGTACGCTCGACCCCCGCAGGCCATGGTATGTGATGTTTTGAAGTGTGAAGGATGTCTGAATTAAATTAAGTGTGTGTTTGTCGTTATGTAGCGAGTTATGATCCAGCCTCGATAGAGGTGTCCTATGGAATGGAGTGATCGTGTAGGATATACGTGTATGTTACTGTTTGTGTATAGACGTATATGTGTGGGGGCATTAGCTTGAATAGGCCTATGTGTCTTATCCTGATCTAATTGCAGCGCAGATACTTGCGCTCGATAAGCGGATAGCCATACAGTTACAAAGTGGTTTTCTTACGTGATACTGTCGTTGGGTTCTATGGATGGACTTTTCAGGCACGATGTATGACATTGCTAAGAATTTACGATACAATCTAATTGCAGTGGAATCCACAACCCCCTGCTCCTGGACAAGAAGGACAATCTGCGGAATATATTCAGCATCAGTTTTATCCTCAAGGTAAGCCAACCTTCGATGCAAATGGTCTATTGACCCGAGATAATGTCGATAAATTCGGTTTCTATCCGTGATTCACTGGATTTTTCGTTCACAGTTTGTTTCGGATACAACCGTCAATATTGTTCTCTACATCAACATCAATATAAATGTTTGTCGTCATTTGTACACACATACAGAAACATAGACACGCAGACACAGACACACAGACATAGACACCCAAACACAGACACACACAGACACATACGCACACACACACACACACACACACACACACACACACACACACACACACACACACACACACACACACACACACACACACACACACACACACACACACAC